ACACTCAGCGACTGTTGGAGGGCCCTGTCGAGGTGACGGTCGGCCCTCTAGGGCAGCGTGGGTCAGCGCTAGTGCCTCATCTGAGTGAGGATCATCTCGTGGAGTAGCCACAGCGTGCTGGGCCAGGGAGAATATCCTGCTACCAAAGCCAGCCAAGTACTCAGCACTAGCCATAGCGGCCGCCTCGATCCCAGAAGAGAGATCGTCCTCCAGTTGCCCAACATCCCCTGGTGCCCAGAAAGGATGCCTCGTCTCCATCGGCGACCCTGGTCGAGCACGAGGGAGTGGAGAGGGAGTATCAGCCTGCGTAGGTACACTGACCACTGCTGATGATGATGGCAACACTTCCTCATTACCTCTCACAGATCCACCAGAAACAGTAGCAGGCGATAGTACAACCCTATACGGAGCCTCAGGCGGCTCGGATCGATGATGGTCCGGAACCATAGCGGGTGCGCTAGACGACGATGATGACGATGATGATGATGATGATAAAGAAGGAGAAGAGGAACTTGTAAGAGATTGCCGAGTAGATTCTGGCGAGTGAGGCACCTCATCAGCTGAACCTCCATGTCGGTTGACGGGGCTATCGCCATCGACGGGCACCCCAACCGAGTCCCCCTCCAATACTGATATCGGCTGGTGCTGCTGCTCCGCTACGGCTGAGACCTTCCTGGACACATCAGTAGACTTTACCATTGCCTCAGCCAGCTGCAATGCCTTGGGAGAAGCCAAGGTCGACTCCTCTCCATTCCCTAAGCTATCCACCAAATCAACCGTCCCTATTCCCTCCAACTCCAGCGGACTGTGGGCAGCAGGAGCATCACCATCTCCACCAGTCTCCACTGGTCCACCCAAATCGATGAGATCAGCCTCTCCACAGCTAGTGCCGGTAATCTCACCCGAGCCGGTTGCCGTACTGCCATTAGCTGCTGCTGATTCAACAAGGTTGGAGAACTCCTTCAGTATCATAGGGGATATAGCGCTGTCCTTGTTTATGAAGGTCGGAGTGCCCAACATAGGACACTGAGCATACCAGCCGGCAGTCTCCAGGCAAAGGCCAATGAGGAGCAGCTCCGGAAGGCCCATGTCGTCAGCGCTTGGCTGGGCCCCGAAGACCGCTATGTAGACGGGAACAGAGCACGCAACACAGCGGGATGCAAAGTGAACGAGGGTCTCCTTTGGGAAAGAGGCGAGGGTCTCTACATGGAAGATGAGTAATAGAGCGATATCGCCAGGCTGAGGGAAGATACTATCAAGCTCGAAGGCTGTGGGGCAGGCCGCTGAATCGTGATGGGAGGAGGCCTCCACAGAGTCAATGAGCTGCTGGATATTTACTAGTCCCAATTTAGGATACTTCAACAGCGCCTCAGGAGGAGAATTCAACCGGACTTCAACGCTGGCGGATGAAAGCATGGACTCCGGAAGATGTAGCGGAAGTGTGGTAAGAAACTCGCGAAGGGATGTGGTCAATATAGTGCCTTACACAAGCTCCTTCGCCACAATTGACCTTGCTACTCTTACTACCATATTTAGCACGTATTCCCCAACCTAGTCCATCGTGATCGTTGCAATGCAGAGCACCCATTCCTCCGTTGGCAGTGAGCTTAGTGGTCCTTTCCCTGACCAGTTCAGCCACACGATGTCGGCGCTCTTGTTTGGAAAGGACGGATAGTCGCAGCCAAGTTGATCCTAAGAGGGACATTCAAGACTCACGAGGATACGTTGATGACTATCACCACTCTCGCATTCCTTGAGGACTTGCTCCCTGATCTCAGCCTCCAACTCTGCCCTAGTACATAGGGGAGCGCGCAGCCTTGGATTGCCGCTGTCGATATAGAGCAGAATCCTATCGGGTCCATTGACGCTGATGGACATGGAAAAATGAAGGGCTGAGCCGAGCGATGGAGGAATAGTGATAATGTCATCACAGCAAGGCAACAACAGAGGCGGTAAGAGCAGGGGTGGGCGTAAGCCAGCAGCAGAGGCCATAGATAGTTGACTGTGGCCATGGGAGACACTCTGTGTTCAACTGGGCTCTGGGCGACACCACTACGCCGCAGGAGAGGCAAACAGAAGTGTTGATAAAGGGGATCTGGAGAGACGAAGACGATTCAAGCTGGCCCGAGTGGCATTCAAGTTTGATACCATGCTTAAAGGTTACATTCAAGTTCGACACTATTGAAAGCAAGGTTGACACGGCTAGAAATGTTTCATACAACTTTGACAATAACCGCCCAAGTTTGACACTCCAACGCAACAGGGAAAAGTAGCATAGGCGAAAAACACTCCTATGCTACTCATCCCTGTTGCGCGCTGACACGGTGTGACACGTTGACATTCTTGCGTGTAACGCTGTCAAACTTGGATGGGAAAAGGTGTAGTATTGGTGGTAAAGCCCTACAGCGTAGTCGTGAACAATTGACCGTATACGAGTAGTACAAAGCCTATAGGGGAACCAGCGTCGATAGGTCTAACTCATCCTATGAAAATATGGTCCTCATACATCAGTAGCGGGGTTCTAGTAACCTCTACCTACGCCCATAAAGGGAAAGGGGACGAGGAGCACCTACGACAACATGGAGTGTAGTGTTGTGACCGGAGAACCAGGTTTCACCAACTCGCCAAGCTTGGTGATTTCGGGTCCTAATGAACTCTCGCCAACACGCTCAATCATGGGATACGACCGCTTTTGGACCATATTTCACCTCTTTGGCGTTGACACCTAACGAATTTCACCGAGATGTGGCGGAAACTGGTTGAGGAAATCCGTAATTTCGTTCGCCCAAATGATCTATTCCGTTCTGTGCGCACGGTTACAGCAACTTGGTATTGGTGTAACATGCCAGTGGCTCAGATATTGCTATAAAACTTGGTGAACTTATCGGTATTCGCCAACTACGTGTCGTAAGTCGCCGATATCTTGGTATAATCATTTGTTTATGAAGATTACACCATCTTTCGCGATATCCGCCTTTTATCGATCACGGTTGGTATATTCCCGAGTCGGAGTCGAATATCGCCAGGTGATTTGTTCAAATCTGGTTTTGTGACAGGCTTTCGCCACAACTTCTTCATGATTCCTGTCCGGCGAAAGCCGTATCAGGGCCGCATACTGCCAAGCTGGATTTAACCACACACTTCACCCTTGGTTCTGCTTTTCGTTGTCTGTTCTCAGTGACTTTCGATGTCTTTGGACTCTGAGTTCAAATGATTATCATGTTTTGTGGTAGGGCGATAGACGGTCTATCATAGACCGATCGAGTACAGGAGAGTTCGCGCGAGAAGCCCAGGATCTACTCCCACGAGTTTTACCACGCCCGAGTTAATCCTTTGTCAACTT